AATGCTGTCTGTAAAGAGTCAGAAAGGATTTTTTTTTTTTGAAAGACAAAGCCAGAATTAAAATTTTAGTTGGATTGTGTGGTCGATCTATGGACCTATAACACTAGAATTTTAAAGTCCTCTGTCCCAACGCCTTTTTTTTTTTTTTTTACAAAATGGCTGGATTAAATCATTTTACCAAAACAAAGTATCACACGACTCTTGGGAGAATTACAGTGACTACTTCTATCTAACTACAACTCTTGTCGGACAATTTCATTTTGATGTATTTATAATTTATAACGCGTTATGGCCTACAATCTCTCCTGATTTGTTGTCATCGTATTACCACCTCTGATGTATGAATTAAATCCATGAATATGACATTTCTCACACAACTGAAACTACATCTAACCATCATAACCAACATTCCAGCAACTGCGTCATGGTATTTAGTAAGGAATGTTAGATCGAAGTACAACTCCATTTCCCCTTACATCTGCAAGGCGTTGTACTTGGTTGATAGCCAGGGAGGACTTATTATTTTCAGTATGATCTCCTGAAATATAAGTAGAAAGACTTTTTATGACCGCTCCGGTTGAAACACGTTATTTTTGATGTGGTTTATCTCAGTTTAATATGCGCAATTTTATCCAGAATACCTTATCTGCTTCTGTGGTTTAAGCTTTTGAAGTCAGGTTCTTTTCGGTTTTCTTACTATATTCAATTGTGTGGCAGACCGAGGCGTTCTATAAGCAGATGTTGGTAATTTGGTAGCTTGGTTCGTTGGAATACGTCATGATAATACTTTTATCGGATTTTAGATCTCTCTGGAAATAATTTTAATTTTAATTTTATCGTTATTATTGATTGGCAGTTTAACAGTTTAATATATCATTGTATCATTTTGTATGACGTAAATTTTTACCTGTATTTTAAGACTTTTTTTAATCGTCGTTATACGACGTACAGTAGATGTCTCTGTGAAGAACTGTTTGGTTTAACGGATAAAGTTAAGACCCAGTACGTGGTTAACTGTAAGACACTTGAAGAGATGGCAACAACGGAAGCTTATATCTCACTTATGACAAATTATATAAAGTTTATAGTTTAGATGCGTCATGTTTGTGTTAAAATTCAGTATATATTTATTTATTATTTCAGTCTATACACAAACTTAGTTTTTAATGTTGTTGTTAAAATTACAATTAAAATTTAGCGCTTTTCATCAAAAGGAACACCTACAAAAGAAATCTACAAAACAAATAAATCAATAAAAGCTTGCATTAATAAATATATATTAGTTTTAAAGATGAAGATAACAATAAAAACCTGAGGATGATGCAACAGCATCGAAACATGTAGTAAAATAATAAAGCGCTGAAATGTAACATCGAAATAACAATGAAAAGCGCTAAATTTTAATTGTAATTTTAACAAACAACATTAAAAACTAAGTTTGTGTATAGACTGAAATAATAAATAAATATATACTAAATTATATAAAATAAATTATTGATTAATATGCCGAAATGTTCGTAGTACGAAGAATTTCTCGTATATTGCCATGAAGTTTTGATAAAGTTTTTAAATTTATAACCTTACTCTAATTGAATCGTTAAGCAACTGTGAATTTGGCCTTGTGTTGGGAAAATGTTTGGAATCCCTGATTACATAGACGTTGTGTGTTCAGCTTTAACCCTACGGGAGGACCCATCTGTTGTAAGTATGCTGGAGGTTTCGCTGTTTAACGTACTATAAATAACTCGCTTTGCAAATGTGCCTATTGGATTCTTCCAAACCTATTCCGGCATCTTTAATGTTTGTTCAGAAATTGCTGACGTAGTGGAATGCTGTGCTAATAACGAATATAAATTCTTTTCCCCTTCAAATTTCTGAAAAGCTCATCTTGGAACGAAACTTTGGAAACGAAAAATTATTTGGATAGTAAAAGGTTAATATTTCCCTAAATACTGTCTTTTAAATTGT